TTGCTCGGCCCCAGAGGGTAACTTCCTGCGCAGCTCCGGGCTGAGCCCTGACTCCATCGACTGGAGGAAGAAGGGAAACTTTGTCACACCCGTGAAGAACCAGGTGAGGAGTGTGTGTCATCAGCACTGCACCAAGACTGGGCCAGCCACGCCGGGCGGGGGGCTGTGCCTGCAGGCTGCCCTGGGAGCCCCTCCACGGCTGGGGGAGAGGGGCTGGGGCAGGGGGAGGCTGTGGCCCCCGGGGTAGGGCCCAAGCAGAAGGGCTTCAAAGCCCAGCTGCCAGCAGGGAGTGGAAGCACTGTGCTCCTGGCATGCCCTTCTGCCCCAGCCCTGCTATTCTGGGTCTCTTCAGCACATTACAGAGCAATTCTTCTCTGGTTTCTAACGCAGGGCCCTTGTGGGAGCTGCTGGACCTTCTCCACCACAGGATGTTTGGAGTCTGCTATTGCTATTGCCACAGGAAAGCTTCTCTCTCTGGTAAGAGATTTTCCTTTCCTGTGCACTGATGGCAGGTCCTGCCACCAGTTCCCCATAGGGGCCCTGGGGGGCCCTGCCTGCTCCTGTCCAGAGCAGCCCCTGGCTGCTTTTTCCAAGCCTGGCTGTGCCTGGCTGTGTGTGGCTGTGCCAGGCCCCCCCAGCCCTGCAGACCCCACTCAGCTCTCCAGAAGCTGAGCCCAGCTGCTGGGGGGGCATGGGGCAGCATGGCTGCTGGGAGCTCTCTGTGCCCCAGGATGTGTCTGTTACCATCACGTTTTGGGATCTGAGTGTCCTGGTGCCCTGGGCCTTGGCAGAGCCCTCCTGGGAGCAGGATGAAACCAGAGGGGCTGGGGCTGGCAGTTCCCTGCTGCTGCAGGCACAGTTAGCTAGAGCCGTGGCTGATGCTGGCTCAGCTCCTTCTTGCAAAACAGCTTGCTGCAAGCCACGTGTTGTGAGGCTGTTTATTTTTAAACTCCCGGGGGATTTACGTTCTCGAAGAACTAGAAAAGCAGCGGCCGCTTGTGTGACTTACAGGAATAGCGAGGCTGGGTGTGTGTGTGTCAAAACCCAACCTGACCTTGGAAAGAGTTCTCAGCTGCTCCTGGGGGTGGG